CCTACTGCCTCACGAACTTCCCCCACACTCACAACTGGCTCTTCCTCACTCCTACAAGATGTTGTTCCTCCTTGCCCTATACACGAAATCACAGCTTCCCTATCTTCATCAACATTTAACAATTCCTCAAAATATTCCCTCCATCTTCCCAATACCTCTAACTCTCCATTTAATAACTCTCCCCTCCCATTTTTAACTGACAAATCCATTTGTTCTCTAGGCTTTCTTAACTTGTTAATCTCACTCCAAAACTTTTTCTTATTTTCAACAAAATTTGTTGATAACATCTCACCCACTCTCTCATTTGCTCTCTTTTTACATTGCTTCACCACTCTCTTAACCTCTCTCTTTTTCTCCATATACTCTTCCCTCCTTGCATCACTTCTACATTGTAAAAACTTCTCATATGCTAACTTTTTCTCCCTTACTACTCTCTTCACATCATCATTCCACCAATCGCTCCTCTTCCCTCCCGCACCCACTTTCCTGTAACCACAAACTTCTGCTGAACACTCTAACACTACATTTTTAAACCTACCCCATACCTCTTCGACCCCATTGCCTATGCTCTCATTAGCCCATCTATCCTCCAATAGCTGTTTATATCTTACCCTAACTGCCTCCTCTTTTAGTTTATAAACCTTCACCTCTCTCTTCCCTGATGCTTCTATTCTCCTTGTATCCCATCTACCTTTTACTCTCAGTGTAGCTACAACTAGAAAGTGATCTGATATATCTGTGGCCCCTCTATAAACATGTACATCCTGAAGTCTACTCAACAGTCTTTTATCTACCAATACATAATCCAACAAACTACTGTCATTTCGCCCTACATCATATCTTGTATACTTATTTATCCTCTTTTTCTTAAAATATGTATTACCTATAACTAAACCCCTTTCTATACAAAGTTCAATCAAAGGGCTCCCATTATCATTTACACCTGGCACCCCAAACTTACCTACCACACCCTCTCTAAAAGTTTCTCCTACTTTAGCATTCAGGTCCCCTACCACAATTACTCTCTCACTTGGTTCAAAGGCTCCTATACATTCACTTAACATCTCCCAAAATCTCTCTCTCTCCTCTGCATTCCTCTCTTCTCCAGGTGCATACACGCTTATTATGACCCACTTCTCGCATCCAACCTTTACTTTAATCCACATAATTCTTGAATTTACACATTCATATTCTCTTTTCTCCTTCCATAACTGATCATTCAACATTACTGCTACCCCTTCCTTTGCTCTAACTCTCTCAGATACTCCAGATTTAATCCCATTTATTTCCCCCACCGAAACTCCCCTACCCCCTTCAGCTTTGTTTCGCTTAGGGCCAGGACATCCAACTTCTTTTCATTCATAACATCAGCAATCATCTGTTTCTTGTCATCCGCACTACATCCACGCACATTTAAGCATCCCAGTTTTATAAAGTTTTTCTTCTTCTCTTTTTTAGTAAATGTCTACAGGAGAAGGGGTTACTAGCCCATTGCTCCCGGCATTTTAGTCGCCTCATACGACACGCATGGCTTACGGAGGAAAGATTCTTTTCCACTTCCCCATGGACAATAGAAGAAATAAAGAGGAACAAGAGCTATTTAGAAAAAGGAGAAAAACCTAGATGTATGTATATATATATGTATGTGCGTGTCTGTGAAGTGTGACCAAAGTGTAAGTAGGAGTAGCAAGATATCCCTGTTATCTAGCGTGTTTATGAGACAGAAAAAGACCAAGAAAACGGCAATCAAGGAAGCTGTTCTTGCCAAAGGTGCAACTTTGTTTTCGAAACAGAGATCGCAAGTGATAGAAGATGTTGAGAGACTGTTATTGGTGTGGATAAACAAAAAACAGATAGCAGGAGATAGCATCTCTCAAGTGATCATATGTGAAAAGGCTAGGAAGTTGCATGATGATTTAATTAGAAAAATGCCTGCAACTAGTGGTGATGTGAGTGAATTTTAGGCCAGCAAAGGTTGGTTAGAGAGATTTAAGAATTACACTGACTATTACACTGACAATGTTGTGAAACACTTTATGAATGTCATAAAGGAATGGGAGGTACAGGCCTCTATGGACAGATTTGTTGTGCGACAGAGGTCCAGTGACTCTGAAGCTGGTCCTAGTGGCATTAAAAGAAGGAGGAGGATTCCCCTTCTTAACATTTACACCATTCATGCTCTCCCCTCCTCCCATCCCATCAATCATCACCAGATCTTCAATAAAGGTAAGTGTCATGTAACTGTGCATGTCTTCTTCAGTTTGTGTGTATTAAAATTAATATTTCATGTGTTTTTTTTTTTTTCATACTTTGGGGTGTCAGGAACGGATTAATTTGATTTCCATTATTTCTTATGGGAAAAGTTAATTCGCCTAACAATAATTTCGCCTAACGTTGAGCTCTCAGGAATGGATTACTATCGTTAGGCGAGGGTCCACTGTATGAGCATTGAAATGTCCATGAGATGGAAGAAAAGTTTCATGTACCACTTGTAACTCTTACGAACACAATCAACAAAGCCAATCTGCAAGTCACATTTGTCAACCAAGTGCATGTTTTGTGTATAATCAATCACTGTCACATGGCATTGGCAGTAAACACCTGCACATCATCACCACGAGCACCTGCGTTGAACCTGGGCATACATTTACGATTAGAATGCACTGTGCCACACATCTGTCTTGTTCACTCGCAAGAAATCACTGAGTAAAGGGCTTGTGTACCAGTTATCAATATATATAATGTATGCCCCTTACCAAGATAAGGTGCCATCATGCTTCTCACTACGTCACCTGAGATACCCAATAACATCCTGGTATCTTTCAATGTTTTACATCCAGTGTATACAACAATATCCAATACCAGGCCACTGTCACAGTCACAGAGTACAAACAGTTTTTATACCAAAGTGTTTCCTCTTGCTCGGTACATACTGCTTGAATGACAGCCTACCTTTGAACAAAATCAGAGACTCGTCAATTACAAAATTCTTGAATGGGTAAAAGTACTACATGTTGAACTTTTGTTTGAGATACATAAAAACATTTCTAATCTTGTATAACCTGTCACTTCTGTCAGGCCTGGTTTTGTCAGAGAAGTGCAACATACGTAACAGTAAAATAAACCTGTTCACTGGGATGATTTCACTGAAGACCGGGGTAGAAATTAGCCGATCTGTGGAGCAGTATGCCTTTATATTATGCTTATAGACATGAGGCATAAGCATTATTGTTGCAAAAAGCAAATACATTTCTGCAACAGTCGTCTCTTTACACAGGTGTAGTCTTGACTGTGGTGATATGATTGTATTTGCCATAGCGTACTCAAAATACTTGTTACTTTCCCTGACAATAGTTTCCATCAAGGGCTGGTCAAAGAATATTTCAAAAAATTCCAGTTCATTGGCCGTGGTTCCAAGGGGACAAGTAGGTAGACTTCCACTTTGAGTCACAAAATTGGGGTTTTGCTGCCAATCCCAGATATGGTTTGCTGGTGGATAGTGGACATCATATGCTGGTGGATAGTGGACATCATAGGCTGGTTGTGCGGGTAGTTGTGGTGGGCTGGTGGCTGATGCTCAGCTTTGTCCTTGAACTGAGGAGTCAGCAGCATGGGTCCCAGCCTGGGCTGGTGAGTCACACATGGCTGTGGCACTACCATCACCACTACCATCATCACTACCACCATCTACTGATGCCTGTGGTCTATTCATGCCAAGTGTAGCCACATCATCCTTACTTTCACTGTCTATTCCTGGTGTAGGGCCACAGGATGTACTCCGGGATGTACTCCGTCCCCTGGGCACTGCATAGGGTACACTACCCGAGCGCATGCGGTGGCGTACATACCGACGCTTCACTGGTGAATATGATTCCTCACTATCACTACTCGAATGATTGTCAAGAGCAATAAAATCACAATCCACGTCACTATCATCATCATTACTGAAGTCAGAGCCTGGCCACGCGAAAATAACATTTTTCCCTTGTGATGAGGCACAACTGACCGTGACTGAGGAGGGCCCACACCAGAGATAGAAGGTTGAGGACCGTCAGGGTTTTCTGTGCTATTATCGATATCCTGGTCATTCCTTTTGGTCACTAACTGATCAAAGCCAAAGAATTCGTCTTCATTTCCACTTCCATCAGTGTCAGAACTATCAGACAGGAAGAGGAGAGTCCCAATTTTCCTTGGAGTGAGAGCTGCCTTGCGACGAGGCATGGTGAACAAAGGTAACTGAGCCGGCGTTCCCACAATGCTATGTGGGTGCCTAGAATTTTTGTTTACAGTGCACACCCACCACACAAACCCATTCTCTCACATGTAGGCCTATGAGCGTTTTCACGCTAAATTTGACGCTGCTAGAATTTTGGCATAGATCTACGGTTTGGACACTGAATGTGAAGCCGTAGATCTACGGGACGGACCCTGAAAGGGTTAATTGTGCATGTCTTAAGTTTGTGTGTATTAAAATTAATATTTCATGTGGTAAATTTTTTTTTCAGACTTTTGGGTGTCTTGCACGGATTAATTTGATTTTCATTATTTCTTATGGGGAAAATTAATTTGCCTTATGATAATTTCGGCTCACGATGAGCTCTCAAGAATGGATTAATACCGTAAGGCGGGGGTCCACTGTATTATTCATTTCGGCATCTTTATTATGGTTCTAAGGTATTTATCGTGTTACTGATGTCAATTTGGAATAAATGTGATAGATAACCTTTATTACTAATATTAGCATAATTACACAACATTTTATTAGCACTACGATGGTAATAATAATAATAATAATAATAATAATAATAATAATAATAATAATAATAATAATAATAATAATAATAATAATAATAATAATAATAATAACAATAATAATAATATATTAATTTATAATAATAACAATCACTCTGGAGTGGTTTAAATGTCAGCTACCAAACCTGTACAAAATACGTATGACATGATTATTATTATTATTATTTTTATTATTACCATCAACGTACCTTGTTCACTGAGTTTAATCATTCAGGTTCTCCTACAAGTCTGTATTTTATGCTATATAAGACTTGGGTTATGGAAGCAGGCAGTGCGGCGTCTCAGCATCAAGAATCTCAGTCTCCTTCCTACAACCGCTAAGTACACTAGCTTTCACTGTCTCCAAGACTACATATTTGTACAAATTTGTACTTTACTGTGCATCCCATAGTACAAGATGTCGGCAAAAAGGAAGATCTTGACTTCACCTAAAAGAAGCGCCAAGAAACAAAGGAAGACTCTCAATCTTGAGGTGAAAATGAGGATTATAAATGAGTATGAAGCTGGTAAGAAAGTGCAAGTGATAGCTGATGACTTGAAGCTGGTGCATTCTGCCATTCCCACTATCTTGAGAGATAAAGATAAAGAGGTAGCGAAAGCACTGACAGGATTTCAAGCCATAATAACTAGGCAGTGGAAAGGCCTTGTTCATGAAATGGAGAAATTACTGGCAATCTGGTTTGACAATCAGATACAAAAAAGAATGCTGATGAGCCTTTTAATTATTCAAGCCAAGGCTTGAAGGATGGGTGGAGCTATACGAGAGGGAGAAGGTGTGATGGTCTCTCAATAACTCTATGTTCACCAGGGCGTGTGGAGATGTGACTCATGGCACTATAAAATATTGTATAATTATACTATTACTTCAATAAAGGTTATCTATAAATCATATTTATTCCAGAATTTTTTTTTGATTAACACATCAGCTGATTCCCACCAAGGCAGGGTGGTCTGAAAAAGAAAAACCTTCATCATCATTCACTCCATCACTGTCTTGCTAGAGGGGTACTTTACACTATAGTTATAAAACTGAAACAGTAACACCTCTCCTTCAGAGTGCAGACACTGTACTTCCCATCTCCAGGACTCAAGTCCGGCCTGCTGGTTTCCCTGAATCCCTTCATGTATGTTATTTTGCTCACACTCCAATAGCACGTCAAGTATTAAAAATCATTTGTCTCCATTCACTCCTATCAAATACGCTCATGTATGCTTGCTGGAAGTCCAAGCCCCTCACACACAAAACCTCCTTTAACCCCTCCCTTAAACCTTTCTTCGACTGACCCTTACCCCGCCTTCCCTCCACTACAGATTTATACACTCTCTAAGTCATTCTGTTTCGTTCCATTCTCTCTACATGTCCGAACCACCTCAGCAACCCTTCCTCAACCCTCTGGATAATAATTTTGGTAATCCCGCACCTCCTCCTAATTCACATCACACATTGCCCTCAGACGTGACATCTCCACTGCCTCCAACCTTCTCCTCACTGCAACATTCACCACCTATGCTTCACACCCATATGAGAGTGTTGGTATAACTATACTCTCATACATTAACCTCTTTGTCTCCACAGACTCCCAAGTGCACCACTCACCCCTTTTTCCCTCATCAATTCTATGATTCACTTCATCCTTCATAGACTTATCTGCTGACACGTCCACTCCTAAATACAGTGGGCTCTCAGTTAACGATGCTATCGGATAGCGATAAAATCGGATACTGATGTGTTTTTGCGTCAAAATATTGGCTCGGCTAACAATGAAAAACTCAGTTAAGGACATTCATCCCGAACGTGTCCATGGGGCATGAGCCCATGTGCAAGGTAGTGTGCCATTGTTTACAAGCCAGGAAGGATGATTTCACGCATACATGTGATATATTTTGTATTTTCCATTGTTTTTAGTGCTTGTAACTGCTAAATAAGCCACCATGGACCCAAAGAAAGCTTTTAGTGCCAGCCCTGTGATAAAGAAACACAATAAATTTCAAGAAAAAACTCATAGCAAAGTACCCAAGTGGAGGAAGAAGAGAGAGGGGAGAATGTGCCTTCTGCAGTGATTCAGTGATTCTATGATATGTACGATACTAAAGCAGCAGGTATCGATAAAGGCTATAGTGCCAGCCAGCGATAAAGTGTAGAATTAACAGTGTAGCAAGTAAGTTAAGCGAGTAAGTGATAGAAAATCGACACGAAAGTAACTCTCCAATGTTGTTGCATGTGTATCGGGCCAATGAACATACACCGGCTTGCTACGTATCTTTCACCGACCTAAACCTATGCCAGCATCTCCTCCATCAAACTAACTAATTAAACTAACATGTCCTCCAAGGTAAGTGTAAATATAAAAGTGTAAGTATAGAAGTAAATATAAGTGTAAATATAAAAGGACCCCAATGGAAATAAGTCACTATGACTTTTTTTGGTTATCCTAGGTACTTTACACATATGCTGCTATGTATGATAATCTATGTACGTAACTGTATTCGTGTATACCTGAATAAACTTACCTACTTATTTATAAATTAAAATTTAAATATTTCTCATTTATAAATTAACCCTTTCAGGGTCCACAGGACCTCTCAGAGACTTGTTCTCAGGGTCCCCCAAATTTCAAAAAAAAAAAAAAAAAAAGATAGAGAATCTTTTCCCGATCATAATGACACAAAAAGTATGAAATTTGATGGAAAACTTACGGAATTATGCTCTCGCAAAGTTAGCTGTCTCGATGATGTTTGCGCATTGGCGATTTTTGCCTACTTTGAGCCCTATTTTTGGCCAATTCCAATGTACTAGTCAACAAAAATCACAACTATTTTGCTAAAACTGCATTTTTTTTATCGAATGAGTACACGAAACCACCAATTTACCGATTTTCTATCCAATACAGTGGTCAGAATTTAGCAATTTTGCCAATTTCACACAAATTTCAAAAGATGCCAATTTCCAAATAGAGTCCAGAATAAACAAGAAAGACATTCCTGGCACTAAAATAACATTTCCTCTGTTCATTAGTCATGTCCCCACGCCCCTCTTAGATTCTTTTGCTTTCCATTTTGAATTTTTATTCTCACAAAAAAATAGAAGATTTATTGTTATGCAGACCACTGCATTAGTGTAGATATGGTATAAATAATATCGGCACACTTGTGAAAGAATATTAGACTCACCAGTTGATGTATATTGGACGTTAACCATGATTGGTTTACTTTTGAACTTTGGTAAAAATCGAACATTTCTGCGACTTTGAGCTCAATTTCAAGGTACTTTTCATTGTCAAACCAGTCAAAATCATCTCAATTTCTGTAATATGTCTTCCATTCTATACAATGAGACCAGGAAAACTAGAATACAACAATAAACACCATAGGAAAATACAGTGCAAAGTCGCTGTTTTAATCCAAAAACACAAAGTTTTTTTTTCTCATTACGCACTGTGTGCTGCAGGATTTTTTTATACTGCACACACTGACCACATAGACCCATTCTTTCATATGTAGGCCTACCAGCTTTCTCTCGCTAGATTTGAAGGTGCTTGAATTTATGCATACTAGTATGGCATCAACCCTGGCGTGCAAGCCGTACTATTACGGCACCAACCCTGAAAGGGTTAAAATGTTAATATTTCTTATTTATAAATTAAAGTGTAATTTTTATTATTAATACACTGGCTGATTCCCACCAAGGCAGGGTGGCCTGAAAAAGAAAAACTTTCACCACCATTCACTCCATCACTGTCTTGCCAGAAGGGAGCTTTACACTACAGTTTTTAAACTGCAACATTAACACCCCTCCTTCAAAGTGCAGGCACTGTACTTCCCATCTCCAGGACTCAAGTCCGGCATGACGGTTTCCCTGAATTCCTTCATAAATGTTACTTTGCTCACACTCCAACAGCACGTCGAGTATTAAAAAACATTTGTCTTCATTCACTCCTAACAAACACGCTCATGCATGCCCGCTGGAAGTCCAAGCCCCTTGCACACAAAACCTCCTTTACTGCCCCCCTCCAACCTTTCCTAGGCCGACCCCTACCCCACCTTCCTTCCAGTACAGACTGATGCACTCTTGAAGTTATTCTATTTCACTCCATTCTCTGTACATGTCTGAACCACCTCAACAACCCTTCCTCAGCCCTCTGGACAACAGTTTTGGCAATCCCGCACCTCCTCCTAACTTCCAAACTACAAATTCTCTGCATTATATTCACACCACACATTGCCCTCAGACATGACATCTCCACTGCCTCCAACCTTCTCCTCGCTGCAACATTCATCACCCATGCTTCACACCCATATAAGAGCATTGGTAAAACTATACTCTCATACATTTCCCTCTTTGCTTGCAAGGACAAAGTTCTTTGTCTCCATAGACTCCTAAGTGTACCGCTCACCCTTTTCCCCTCATCAATTCTGCGATTCACCTCATCTTTCATAGACCCATATGCTGACATGTCCACTCCCAAATATCTGAATACATTCACCTCCTCCATACTCTCTCCCTCCAATCTGATATCCAGTCTTTCATCACCTAATCTTTTTATCCTCATAACCTTACTCTTTCCTGTATTCACTTTCAATTTTCTTCTTTTACATACCCTACCAAATTCATCCACCAACCTCTGCAACTTCTCTTCAGAATCTCCCAAGAGCACAGTGTCATCAGCAAAGAGCAACTGTGACAACTCCCACTTTATGTGTGATTCTTTATCTTTTAACTCCACGTCTCTTGCCAAGACCCTCACATTTACTTCTCTTAAAACCCCATCTATAAATATATGGAACAACCACGGTGACATCACACATCCTTGTCTAAGGCCTACTTTTACTGGGAAATAATCTCCCTCTTTCCTACATACTCTAAAATTGAGCCTCACTATCCTCATAAAAAACTCTTCACTGCTTTCATAACCTACCTCCTACACCATACACCTGCAACATCTGCCACATTGCCCCCCTATCCACCCTGTCATACGCCTTTTCCAAATCCATAAATGCCACAAAAAACTCTTTAGCCTTATCTAAATACTGTTCATTTATATGTTTCATTGTAAACACCTGGTCCACACACCCCCTACCTTTCCTAAAGCCTCCTTGTTCATCTGTTATCCTATTTTTCCATCTTACTCTTAATTCTTTCAATAATAAAATCTACCATACATTTTACCAGGGATACTCAACACCCCTTATCCCCATATAATTTTTGCACTCTCTTTTTTCCCCTTTGCCTTTATACAAAGGAACTATGCATACTCTCTGCCAATCCCTAGGTACCTTACCCTCTTCCCTGCATTTATTAAATAATAGCACCAACCACTCCAAAGCTATATCCCCACCTGCTTTAAACATTTTTATCTTTATCCATCCCAAACCCGGCTGCCTTACCCCCTTTCATTTTACCTACTGCCTCATGAACTTCCCCCACATTCTCAACTGGCTCTTCCTCATTCCTACAAGATGTTATTCCTCCTTGCCCTATACACAAAATCACAGCTTCCCTATCTTCATCAACATTTAACAATTCCTCAAAATATTCCCTCCATCTTCCCAAATACCTCTAACACTCCATTTAATAACTCTCCTCTCCTATTTTTTAAATGACAAATCCATTTGTTTTTCTAGGCTTCCTTACTTGTTAATCTCACTCCAAAACTTTTTCTTATTTTCAACAAAGTTTGTTGATAACATCTCATCCACTCTCTCATTTTCTCTCTTTTTACATTGCTTTGCCACTCTCTTAACCTCTCTCTTTTTCTCCATATACTCTTCCCTCCTTGCATTACTTCTACTTTGTAAAAACTTCTCATAAAGCTAACTCTTTTTCCCCCTTACTACTCTCTTTTCATTTATCATTCCCCCAATTGCTCCTCTTCCCTCCCGCACCCACTTTCCTGTAACCACAAACTTCTGCTGAACACTCTAACACTACATTTTTAAACCTATCCCATGCATCTTCGACCCCATTGCCTATGCTCTCATGAGCCCCTCTATCCTCCAATAGTTTTTTTTATATCTTACCCCAACTGCCTCCTCTTTTTAAATTTATAAACCTTCACCTCTCTCTTACCCGATGCTTCTATTTTCCTTGTATCCCATCTACCTTTTACTCTCAGTGGGAAACTACATCTAAAAAGTGATCTGATATATCTGGGGCCCCTCTATAAAAATGTACATCCTGAAGTCTACTCAAAGTCTTTATCTCCCAAAACAAATCCAACAAAAGTGTCTTTTGCCCTCATCAAAATCTTGTATATTTATTTCCTTTATTTTTAAAAATAGTATTTCTATAACTAAAAACCCCTTTTTCCATACAAAGTTCAATCAAAGGGCTTCATTATCATTTACACCTGGCCCCCCAAAACTTACTCCCCACACCCTTAAAATTTCCCCTACTTTGCATTCGGTCCCCTACCACAATTACTCTTCATTTGGGGTTAAAAGGGTTTCCTAACATTCACTTAACTTTCCCCAAAAAACTCTCTTCCTCTACTTTCCCTCTTTCTCCAGTGCATACAGCTTATTTGACCCACTTATCGCATCCAACCTTTACTTTAATCCCATAATCCTTGAATTTATAATTCATATTCTCTTTTCTCCTTCAAAATAGTGTATCTGAAATAAAAGGGTTTTAAAGGGGAAATTAGATGATTTGGGGAGGTCATGTTGTAAATGAGAAAGGAATGGGCCAAGGATACCCCGGGGGAACTCCAAACAAGAACAGGTTGTATAGTTTTAAAAGAAAAAGGACATATATGCAACTAATGTAAAATTTTTTTGTGCAGCTTTTTCCTCCCCGGGGCTTTATCAACCCATTTTACAAAAAATACAGGGCCCCACACAATTTCCTACAAGACTCCGGGCCCAGGAAGGTGGTCCCAGGTATCCTATGCAACTTCCAACCCCAAAACACCCTTGCTCTGCAGTACTAAGCTTACTTAATGAATGTGCCAAAGAACTTCTAACATCGCAAAGGAAAACCTTTAAAAACTGAAGGAATAGAGCGCCAGTCTTAGATTGCCAAACAACTGCTAGCATATTCTCACCTGTCACTAAAACCCAACCCCCCAACAGAAGTCAAATAATCGCAAATTAGTCCCTCTGCCTAACTCGATGGAAGGAACTGGGCAAAAACCCCTAAAAACAACTAACATGCCCTTAATGACTACGAGAATCAAGTGCTGAGTCTGGGTCTAAAATTTACCACAAACATATGCAAAAGCTCAACCTAGTTACCAAAAACCCACAGCCCCAAAGTGACAGTAATTTCCCAGAAGGGGTTATATCGGGGCATTCCCCCTGTGCTTTATGTAAAACCTTTACAAATTTTCCCAAGATGATTTCAATGTTTTTAAGGCCCTTCCCAATGACCAAATTTTAAACGTCCCATCCCGTAAAAGGGGTGGAGTCGTCTATAACCCCAGTGACTAAACACCAAAAATGT